TCAGAATATTAAGACTAGAAAAGTTCCAACCATTCTAAATACTTACAACAAAAGAGAAAGAAACAAAAGTTGCTTACGATAACAGAGTTTAAACTATTGTCTTTGATTATGGTTATGGTACAAACACTTACAGAATTATTGAAGCAGACTGGTCTGGTTTGTTCACGCTAATTCCAGCAGTGTACTTTGTAAAGTTTCCAGAAGTGGTGTCATAACCCCCTTCTGCACCAAATGCAATGGTTGGGGTACCAATTGTGGCTGAAAAATCAATGGCTGGCGATTGATTCAAGGCAACGGCTGTAGTGAAGGTTGCATGGTCATGGAAGTACTGAACCTCCAACTACAAAATAAAGGCCAAGTAATTATTATATCATTAAGCAGAATTCCCAATATAGAGACTTATTAGTCTAAAGATCCCAGATTTTATACCTTGCCAGAGTTATAATCGGGTACTTTGAATGAAGCAATAGTCTTTGTTGATGGGACAATCTCATTGATCGTGAAGGTTGTCGCGATCTGCCAAATCGAGAGAGAAAAGCGGACATGATTAAAACAACAAGAATATTGCTTGTAATATATTCAACAAACGACGCAACCCACATTTGATTCTGTGTCAACTTTGACATCAACCACAGTGTTCTTGTACTTGTATTGTGTCACGATGTCCCCAGTGGAAAGTCCTCCTTTCTTCACCGCTGTTGACGTGAGGGCCTAAAAGGGGCAAAAAGAAGAGGTTTGGAACATAAACTTATATTATGGCTCAAATAAAAAGGAATAAACTCACAAGACAACTTCCAGGAAGAGACACACAAAAAACCAACACTACCATAATCTCAAGGTTTACTTGATCTAAAAGAGTTGTACTTTCCACTATTAATCAACCTGAATACTAAGCAGCCAACAGTTTTATTGCCAAACTAACATTCTAACTCAAGCTTTTGAAGTTTCAAAAGGGTAAACTTAAGAATTTAAATCTGACCAGCATCGATCTTGAAGCATAGTAGGAAATGAAAATTATGAGTTGTAAACATCAATTGAAATAATAACTGTAATACTAATAATAATAACAAATGATGGACACAACTCAACATAAGAAATAAGATATCCCTTCCAGCTCGCTACACAAGAACTGTAAGGGTTGACACTTCAGGTGTCCACTTTCATGAAGCAAATACCAAAAGTATAGAAGGTACTACGAGCTTAAGTTTTGAAGCTTCAAAACAATATTGCTTAAATATTAATCAGGGTGAATCTTAAAACATAGTTGTGAGATTTAGCTTTTAACATCATTTTAAATAGTAACTGTAACCATATTACCCGCACACAAAAGTCTAAACCTATAATAAAATGAGAAAAAGAAAATAGCTGCACAGGGAGCGACAACAAAGAGTAACATCTTCCAAAACCAGGCAATCCACAGTTAACAACACTGCACATGCACACATGAATAGGGGGAAGATTGAGACATTGTCGTGAGAGTAAAGGATATATTTTTTTACAAAAATCCCAATAGAGAAGAACTTCAAGCACGAAACACATGAAAACTTGACAACCCCTCCCCCAATCCATCCTCCCCCATTTTTCAGGAAAAACAAAGATAAGAACATACATAACTGTTCAACAGCAGAAAGGACAAATTGTACACCAAAATTTAGTACTCCAAGATCAAAAGAATTTCTAGATGCAACAACAGTTTAAACATACTTATCAAAATCTTATTAAGTGAAAGTTGCAAAGCAGAAAAAAAAAAACGTGAAATATAAAACAGAACTTATTAAATAAACAATTATAATATAATATAAAAGTACTGAATGGGCATAACTGAGTTCCTTGGAGCACAGCTACAAATCACGGAATGACTCAATTATCAAATGCTTAAGACTCCATTTCCAACAAGTTAATAAAAATAGCATACGATTGCCAATATCATCTAACTAAGGAAAAAGAAAAAGAAAACACCGATCCAAACCCTAAAATACGATCCAAAAGTACATTTCTCAATTATTCAATTAGATATACACGTTTTCTGTGCCATTGAGGCTAAATACATATCAAATCAGAGCTTAGAGTGCCTACCACACCGGCATCGCTGTAGGTGGAGACGGTGAACTTCTGATCGGAGTTGTAGTCCTTCGTTAGAAGATCTGCAAACAAAGCCAAAAGGCAGCGTTTTCAACAGAAAATTACGTAATCGAGTCAGCGCAGAACAGTACAAAGATGAAGAAGAGAAGTGAGTGATCAGTAGAAAAACCGATTCTTTACCTTTGGCTTTTTTGCCGATGTCGGAGAAAAGTCCAGGTCCCTTGCTCATCGTTGCAGAGACGGACACAGAGAAAGAGAGAGAGTCTGTAATTTTGGGAGAGAGAGAGAGGTGAGGAAGCGAAAATGAAAGTGTGAAGGGCTTGCTTTGTTTATTTTCGTGGTGGCAAGTTTGTGTTCTTATCGACGGTTGTCAATGTCTACTGGTGCCACGCCTCCTTCCAACCGTTGATTTCAATACCCCGAACCTCAGTTACACCTTTCTACTTCTTCTCTTCGTCTTCTTCTCTTCTTGATTTGTGGAATTAATTAGTTATTAATTTAGGGTCAAGAAATAAGAATCAATGATTTGATGATTAACTTAACAAAAAATTACCAGATGAATCACTAATAATTAAATTTTTCAAGAAGAAACACACAGAAGTTAATTTTAAGAAAATTCGAGTAATAAATAGGTTAATTTTATGAAAAATAATAAAATAGGGAAATTCATGGTACAATCTTCGTTGGGCTCACAGGCACATGAATGAAAAGCTAATCCAATTGAAAGCACTTTGGGCCCAAAAAGGAATTAAAGATCGGCCTGCTTGTAGAATTATAAAATGATACGATGGCAGAAGTTTTTGAATCAAATGAAGCAAAGCAATGCCTTATCAAGCGCGGCCATGTTCAAATTGAAATCCAATCCAAATAGGTCAAAGAGGATGTTTCTAAGGGAAAATAGGGATGTGGTGTTATTAACTATAGTGTTAAATACGAGTGATCGACATGACGAGTAATAAATAGATACACGTGTTATAATATGAGTGAATTAATAACACCACGTGACAGTGTGACGATCACACGATCACACTGAATAATTTCTCGTTTCACAATTGTCTATTGAGCTAGCATATCTAACTAACTCCGAGTTGATATTTTAATTGTAAATTACACAAAGTTTGATGCTAAGTTGGCATGAATCATGATTAATAATGTGTTAGGAGGATTATACACGTTTGAGAGATACCTCATTTGTTTATGGTTAATTGCATGCTATGAATCATGATTAATAATGTGTTAGGAGGATTATACACGTTTGAGAGATACCTCTTTTGTTTATGGTTAATTGCATGCTTTGGAAGAGAGGGCTATAGCTAGTACAACATTTCAAAGATTTGACTTCGATCAATCTTGACAGCCAGAGGCCTCCAAAAAGTGAAGGAAAAAAAGGCTATATGCATGCATAACAGGGAGTGGGAGATGCTGAAAAATATTGGACCAAAATTGCCTCAACATTTCGCATGACCTTGGTGCAAGAAAGAGAGCGTAGTCCCTGGGAAGGGGTTGTTAGACTGTGGTTGCAGAAATTGCTGGTACTCTTCTTCTGCAAGGAATCAAGATTAAAGTTGTTGCAGTATAATTTCTTGATTTAATATTTTCATCCTTGAGGATATAAGAAATTAACATGCGAACATGCGAACTCAGGCTTCCTTCCAACACTAGCTAATAATTTATTGATTAATTTTAATTTTTAAAATGACTAAAACTTCTTAGTTATTTTATATGACTAATTTGTAGTTTTAAAAAACGACCATACAGTTAATAAACACTTTAATGAAAAATACTTTGAAGTGACTAATACTTTGATTCATATTCACTTCGATTTCAAATTAGCAAACATGTCATAAAAGTTTCAAGACAGGGTGACGTATAATGACACATCATTACTAAAGTTGGGAGACGTAATACGTGCAATAGTAAATATAAAAGGGAGATTCACTATTATACCAAATATAGGAGCCCAAATTATACAAAATAAAACTAATATAAAATAGACTTTAGAAACACACTCAAAGCCCATTTATAACATAACAAAAAGATTTTTAACTTTTTTTAAATTACAAAACTGCAATTGATTTCTTAAAACAAACCCAACCCCAAAATCTCATAAAAAAACCGAAAATATTCAATAGGGTATTAAAGTAATTTAATAACTAAAATTAAATTCAATAGGGTCAGCTGTTATTTTTGGGGTTTTTTTATAGTTTGTTTATATAAATTAAATGGTGTATGGTTTATTTATAATTTTAGTGTTAAGAATGGGTATATAACTAAATATCTCAATATAAAATTAGTGGGAGGCCTGTT